TTATAGAAACTGAGTAATACTCGTGTTAGATTCTACTTAAGATCTTCGAGATTTTAAGGAAAGGATCTGTTACACTGATCCTGAGATCATTTCGTAGAGTGACATATTTCAAAACAACTTAGCATAATGCGACAAGACGTACTGCTTACTGCTCGACCAAAACGTTTCGCACGTTCCAGTAACGAAAAAATGGAACCAAGGAAAAAAAACTGTCCGGCAGACGTAAGGTTTCTGAAACACCCTGTAGGTGCGCTCGGAGGATATGCCTCCGCTCTACGATCTTAAAGGTCTCTACCCGCGGTAGGATCCTCCTTTCTCTCCGGCGCTCGTCACGACTTCTTGCCGGTCTCGATTATTCCGTCCTCGTTCTACCCCCCTTTTTCAGGAATGTCTTCCTTCGACAAAGGCTCATCCACCGGCTTACGCGTCCCCGCCGTTACAAGGATAATCCCCGCCGGTCGACGCTTAATTCACTTTGACGCCCGCGAGAGGAGTCGATCGCAAGGTGCAACAGCTTGCACCTTGTTCCACGCTTTTTCCCGTGTTACCCTCGTACGCTATAATTCACCGCGATCCCTGAAACCGTGTTCCCCCGCGCGAGAGAGAACGAGCGCGCGCCGGCTGCAGAATTCTTCGCCGTTGACGGCGCATTATTTATCTGCCAATGGGAACGTGCTCGAATTAAGCCACACGCGTGTCCCTTGCGCCCCCCGCGGGATCGCTGACGCGAATTATTCGAACGAAAGCTAACGTTCAGGCGATTTCTGGGTGTTTTCTGATCTTAACGCGTTGAATGCCGCACGATTTCGTGGTAAAAATACTTGAAATGGAAAGAATATAATATTAAATCGTTTGGTTGAATTGCATTATTATTGCGGGTTCATCTAGCTGAATGTCATCGCGTTAGTAACATTATATATAATATAGAAATATTTTCAAATTATTTTCTGATCTTAACACGTTGAATGCCGCACGATTTCATGGTAAAAATACTCAAAATGGAAGAAATATGATATTAAATCATTTGGTTGAATTGCATGAAGATTTTTATAAACTTCGATCGGAGCAATTTGGTATTTAGTATTCCTTGCTTGACACCATACAATTGTCATACGAAGTACCCGTTGCATCGAACTTGACACTCTCCTCTGAATGGTCGGAGTCGAAGCGCCTGATTGGCTGAGGCGCTCGCGCCCAATCGAGCCGCGCGACGAGCCGTCTCCGGACTCGCGATTGGATTACTCAGTCGACTGTCTCCGCCCCTATGACGTCACGAGTGCCAGTTGATTTCTACACCTCGAAATAAGGTCTCGCGAGACAAGAATTATTTTTCAAAGTGTCCAATATAAATCGAAAAGAATTTTCGACTGCTGGCGACTGTTTTAAAGACACCGAGCGGGTCAAGCGGTGAACGGGCAGCCGTGTTTTTACGAGGAGCGTGCGCGACCGCGTTTCCCAAGATCCCTTCGAGGCAGAGCGAGTCGCAGAGGAGGGCAGCGTGTCACGCGAAGTTTCGTCTGTTTTTTACCGGGGTGCGCGCGTTCTCGCCGGCTCGTTTAGCGGGAATTATTCATGACCGGCCGTAACAACCCTGTTATGTAAAAGCGAAAGAAAAAGAGACAAGGCGCCGACTTTCGTCTCGCTGTCCGGTGGCGATTCCGATAGAGCGATTGCAACAGGCGAGCCCGCTGAAAGCCCGTTGCGTCACGGACACGCGAAATCGCCTGTTGTTTTTCCGCGACGCCACCTTGTACGCGCATTACCGCGCCGAGACGCTTACGCGCGTAGGAAGCATGTAAAGGGAAAACGGAATGGTATTCGTAGGGAAATGTAATACAATAATTGCGAAACGAGAATACCGGGGCCGACATTTTGACAGGCACGACGGTAGACCTGGGCGTTAATGCTTACGCGTTTCCAGCAATGCGAAAGCGGCCGAACACTTATGGCCGTGTAGAACCTCATTACGCGAACGCCGCCGTCGAGCGTGAAATTACGAGAAAACGAATACCGGCTGTCCAATGTCCCTTGAAACACTCGCGAATAAAGTCTCGTGTTGTGTTCCGGCGACCGAAAATTCGCGATTCGAACAACGCTTTCACGGTGAACATAACCGCAACTTAACGTTTAGCCAACCGAATGGAGAGATTTCCCACTTTTCACTTCGGCGTAAAACACTTTCAAAATCGGCGTAAACACTTACAAAATAATAAGGACATGAAGACAAAAATTCTAAGCATATTCGTGTCTACTCTAAAGTATAATAATTAATGACAAGAATAATATTTCATTCAAATTCAAGAGAATCGAGTAATATGCTTATTAAATTCCGTTTAAAATCGTCACCGACACGTTGTTACAAGGGGTAAAACGCAATAAAAAGAACAAAGTAACTCTCCCGACCCCCATAGAAGGAGCACCGAACACGTTCAAGGGCTTCGAGCTCGGCAGCGCCTCCCGTGAAAGACAGAAATCGCAAACTACGATCGATATCCATTTCCGTGGTGCACCTGTCGCCCGGACGTGACTAATAAACTTCTCCGAGGAAGCGATAGGCGGGGAAGGCAACGGTTCATCGATCAGAGAGGATCGACGGTCGAAGGAAAAAGCGAACGGCGAGCAAGCGAGCGAGCGAGCGAGTGTGCACGGGGGACAGGGATCCGCGCCGATCGGCTCACAAAGGGGAGCAACGACAGTGAAAGTGCACACATCGCTTCGCGACTTGTCGCTCTCTCTGTCTGCCTTCCGGGTGCCCGGCGAGCGGGGTTACACAACGAGCGTGGAAGACGGATGACATAGGGTGGCCGGACGCGACTGAAAATCGGGACTCGGGATGCGAGGATTGACACTGTAGACGCGTAGGTTATGTAGTATCTAGAATATTTAATATTACCAACGCCTGATTAGCCACGCTTATATAATCAGCAAGGTTAAGATTTACTTGACTAAGTAAAATAATTTATATATTTATCTACCTTCGCCAATAAGGCGTTCTATGCAAGTTCTATATCGAAGTTCACTCGGAAGTATATCAATCGACAAAAGAATAATCCATTCGAGTTCCAAAGACTCGTGTAATATTCCTCAACTTACCTTCAAAGTCTTCATTATTTTAAGGCAAGGGGGTAACACCGGTCGTTCAACCCTTAGCAGTCCTATGTCGAGTCAGACTCGACATTCTATTTCCTTGCAACCTCTACCTGTTTTAACAATTTTTTCTATTTGTAGTATCACAACTGTACCATTTCAATGACTCCCAAATATTCTTGAATAAATAAATGCGTTATATTAAGCTGTAATTGAATGAACTAACATCGACGCGAGTCTCAAAGCGAGAAACCAAGAGCACTTCGGACCGCAAAGGGTTAAGGGTTAAAAGCGGCGATCGTCGAACGTCCGTGAAACATTAGAAAAAGTTGGACACGCACGGAATCGAGGCGATCCGTGAGCGCAGTGTCGATACGGTCGCTCGAAACGACAACGATCGGCCGGTCGAGCCTCCCAGAACCGTTTCCGAGAGGGCCGCGCGTCCTTCCCGGCTCGGGGCCCGCATTCCGCGGAGAGGGAAACGCGGCGGCGTGGCGCGCCGCTACGCGAAACTTTCCCAGATCAAAGTCAGCGCGCGCGGGGCGGCGTAATTCGAGCAACGTAATTAACGGTGAACCGTCGCGCGTATACTAAATTCCTGGAACGGCCGGCCGAGCCCGGGAAAGTAACATGGACGAATAGATTTCAGCGGCGGACAGACGTTTCGACGTGGCCGGCGCTAATTGGATCGGTCCGCCTGGCCTGATTGGAACCGTTCCGTCTCGGGGAATTGCGGTGTCGTTACGTCGCCGATGGGGCACCCCTAACCGTCGATATGTATTTGGATATTTAGATCAGCCGTCGTAAAGTGCGGAGCCTACGGGCGTCCCGATCGAACCTTTTCAATAAAAGTATGGTTTCCGCTTATAAGGGGGGATATCGGGATGTTAAATTAGGTTCGGAACAGTAACGGCTGGAAATTATGGGACGAGATCTACCGGGGGACGGGAATTAGTGTCACTCGGCTAGGAAATTTAATGTTGCCGGGAAAAATGGCGTTGGAGTCGTAAGCGGGCTCTGGAAATCGATGTAAATACTCTCCTTTTTGTCTCTCCCTTTTTCTTCTGTTCGGTTTTTTTATGGCGGGGATTGTTTCACGGAAAAATCGAATCGATCAGGTTTACATGGGATTCCTCTATGCGGAGACTGAAGGTAATTGTACTCGGTTGCCGAATGAGTTTCATTTTCTTGAAAATCCCGATTTATATATACTTCCTAATTACTCAATTCCGAAAAATACCGTACACGCATGAAACGTTAAATATTCCTAGCGAAGAACTCGCCGGGGGTTGAATCCCGCGTTCGTAGAACACCGCTGATTACGCACTTTCACTCTCGATCGTCCCCTGTAATTACGGAATAATTACTTAACGCTCGCCCGCGGTACAAAGTAAACGAGCGGGTGAACGAACTCTCCGTACCGCGAGGGTTCAATTCGGATAGAGGAGGGTCCCCCGAGCGCGGCTAGACAATTAACCGGCGGGCCGGGCAAGAAAAATCCGATTTGACGGGTCCTTGAATGAGTGTACGATTAAAGAACGTTAATGACCCGGCCAGAAAAATGAGGAACGCAGAACGTGGGACGCGAGTCCTCGGAAACTATATAATCCACGTGCGTTCGGACACCCTTAATGGTATATCGCGGTGATCGCACGCCGCGATCTTTTACGTTCCGCGGAACGGTGAAGTGGCCGCTCTTTGTAAGAGGGAGGACTAAGTGAGCGAAGATAAAAAGCATCAAGGTCTCCATGGAATTCTACGAACGTCAAGAACCATCGGCCACGGGTGTATGACCGTTAACGAGCTACGTTTTACCAGACTGAAAATCTCTCTCCCTCCCCTCCTCTACCCTCCCGCCGTTGATCCTTTTCCTTTTTCTCCATCCCCCCACCCCTTCCTTGTTCCATCCTTTTTTTCGCCGCCGTCGTCATTGTCGCGATTACGATTTCATTCTTCGCCGTGGTCGTTACACCTTTTGTCCGGCGCGACTCGCCTCGCTCGCGTTCTCCTTCGCGTGATGTCACCGCGATTCACGAGCTCTGGACACGGTTCAAGCGTAATCCGATTGTGTTAACCCTTTGAAGATGAAGATTCTTTGAAATGACCAAAACCGGCAGATGAAGATAAATTATATGTCGATTGCTTGATTAATGGGAAAAAGGAAACTGCGTGAAGATTTCTTGCTATCTGGCTAATTAAATCATTTGTTTGCGACTTAGTAGGCCCTTGTATTCTATTAATTTATTTATGATCTATTAATTTTGTACTGCATAGATTTTTTAGCAAACATCTCGAGTATAATTCAAATTACACTTCGATTCCAGATCCACAAGGACGCGGAATCCTCGTGCGGCGTGAAGTATAATGACACGTTTACGCCAGAAATTGAAATGTCAACGGAGCGGCGTTGAACGTGTCGCAATTTCGTTCCACCTAAAAGCGGCGAAATATTTTTGAGCGGTAACCTTTTCAAATATTCAAGATGAATCTCCGGCAGGGCAATTCAATTCAATTCTGAATTATCACGGCCATCGAGCGTCGGCTAGAAAGGCGAGCGGAGCGCGATCGTTAATGAACAGGTTTATCGGTAAAAGTGACGCCGCGGAATGTTCGCGGAATAAGATCGAAAGTGATTCGAGCGATTAATTAGAATCGACGATCGCGTTCCGCGGAACTGGGACACCGACGTCGCAACCGAGCCGCGGCCCAGTTCGCGAACGTACGGTTTATATAATGGATCCGCGGCGTCCGATTCCACGGTTTCCTAATCGCATAATCGATCATGCTAACGCGGCATTCCGGCCGCGCGTTAAGAAACACGATTGGACGCGATGTTACGCGACGGCAGGATCGATCGCCGACGATTCCGAACGGCGAGGATGAAACGTAACGCCGGCTCCGACACGGCTTCCGTTCCCTTTATTCAATTAAATAACCGATAAACGGTAACGACCCGCGATCCTGCACGCTTCGACCGGATTCCATTAAACGCTAATAACCGATGGAACTGGCTAATCCGCCATTCTTCATGCAACTGGAACGATCTAATGGGCAACCGCCGGCGCGCGATACTGGGACGCGCAGCGTTTCCAACGTCGAAGAGATCCTTTGTTGCTAACGAAGCCCGTTCTCCGCATTCTTCCCTGCGGAACCACTAAATGCATATTAAGGCGACCAGTGAAAAAGCGAATATTGAGCAATTACGAAGAGCCTCGAGAATTCTAGACGTATCTTCCGTCGAATCTGACTTGAGAAATTTATGTCCTAGAGAAAATTATTCATATGGTTTACTTTAGTTATCTATATATCGAAATGTGTTGACATTTCACTGAATTTAACCTTTACGCTAATGAATACAGGTTTCTTCTCTCTGAAAAGTTGATAATAAATTAATTATAATGGCGCCTAAAACTACTAGACGAGCCAAAATGACCTATTCCCGATTTTGTACGATTATCAAATAGATAAACGTTTCTCTGTAGGATAATTAAAGGATTTGATCCAGCAGTACGCAAACTGAATCGTAAATCAATTAGAATCTCGATAGATACACTGTAGAAGTTTTTACAGGGGAATTTCAGAAAGTCAATTTAACTCGGTAGTTTTAGTACGATGAGATTTATGCTCGATCGAGATCTCCGAGGGGAAATGCGAAGGGAGAAAGAATCGTCCATACAAACTGTTAACCTCTGCAATTCCAGCGCGTCGAAACGTCGCGAAAGAAGCTCCGACGGATCGGGACGAGGAGTTTTTCGATCGATCGAACAGTTTTCCGCGGCGGCGGCGCGGGCGAGGCAAAGATTCCCGGTGGTCGTCGACGGATTCGACGCGGTGCGCGCCACACGCGTCGATGACAAGCGGTCATAAAACGCGCAGGTGACACGCGGTCCGGTGCGCGCCGCTCCTCGGTCAGCCAGGCTCACCTGAAAACAGAAACAAAACGAACACCGTAAGCTCGTCGATCTCCCGATGGTAGACGGGGCGAACGGGAGGGACCGTGACGAGAGACAAAACGACGGGGCGATTAAATCGAGCCGAAGTGTCGGGGGAGCTGATAAACTATCGATCATGGTAGCTGTCGTTGATAGAAAAGTATGCGGGGCTCGATAATCGAACTGCGCTCTTCCGTTTTTAACCCTTCGCGGTCGGGAGTCTTTAAAGTGATCGGACCCTTCAGCACGGGAAGCTAAATTGCACTTTGAACTCAGAAATATTATAATATAGGGAATTATATAGTGATCTCTTGCTATTTGAGTAATTAAATCGGTTGCATGCAATTTTATGTTTTAACCCTTTGCACTCGAGAGGTGACTCTCAGTCGCCAATTTATTTGACACAGCAAAATTAGAGCTTGACATTTAATATTAAAATAAAACAGCCTCTTTAATTTAAGTGCGATTTCTCGTTAAGTCAGTTTGAAAGAATGTCGTTGGTATTTCATTAGAAAATCTTGAGTATTTCTAATGACAAACTTCTGGAGTACGAAGGGTTAGATATAGAAGTTTGATATAGATAGAATGACGAGATTTTTCAAGGGGTTAACACTGGCTCTGAATTTCTTATATGAACAGACTTATGGATATCACACGTTTTCTTAAAAAAACTTTAAAAATGTATATATGATGATCTTATTAATGAAACTATGGGATGTACGGATAGACAGTTCAAGAGGAGGAAGGAAATATAAATGGTTTCTGTGATTTTCCTGGTGAACTTTGAAATGGGTCAAAATGACCGGCGAACTTAGAGTTAACTTTTTCGTTACACAGTCAATAAAAGTGACGATGAAAAGGTAGAAAGACGATAGATGCTCGCGTGAGCATTTCCACGTGAAACTGCGAGTCGGAGCGTCAGTAGTGACGATCACGCTCGACAGTCCGAAATTGTGAGGAGGAATAAGACTCTATCAAACGAGCGGAATGGGTCGAGTCGCGCGGATACTCGAAAGGAGATATCCCCGCGACAGAGGGGGACAAGGGGATACGGCGAGTAAGAAGATAAGAAAGCAGGAAGGTTGGAAAGCAAGAAGGTTGGAAGGTAGGAAGGTAGGAAAATAGGTAGGTAGGTAAGAAGGTAGGTAGGTAGGTAGGTTGGTAGGTAGGCAAGCTAAGGTAACAGTCAGGCAATCAGGCTGCGGCGCGGGATTCGCGGCAGCGTTATTATCTACTTGGGTGGACAGGTGCCAGGGGGTTTATAAAAGTCCCGCGCGCGGCATGGCCGGTGGAAGATCGTTATCAAGAGGGATGAGAGCGGTAGGAACGAGGAAGAGTAGGAGGAGGGGTGAATAAGAGGTAGCGGACGGAGTGGAGGGAAAACGGACGGAGGAGACTGGGACAAACGATCGAAGAAGCAGAAGAAGAAGAAGAAGAAGAAGAAGAAGAAGAAGAAGAAGAAGAAGAAGACGAGCAATAGGAAGAAAACGAGCAAGACGAAGATAAGCAAGAAGAACAAGAGGATAGCCGAATGGAAAAGAAGAGGAAACTCCGAGGAATCCGAGTAAGAAAAAAGAGCGAACGAGGACACAGAAAGAGACAGAGAAAAGCGAAGGAGGGACGAGAGGAACCGCGTGGAGAACGGAAGAAACGTGGACGGAGGCGAACGGGGTGGGGGTAGCGGCGAGAGCCAGGCGTAGATTCATGCGGACGCACTACTAGATGGCCGTTGCCGACGCGTATAAGCCACGGCGAGGGAAGGCGGCGGATACCACGAGGAATAAAAGGTCTAGGTAGCATAGTTGCACGCACATTCCCAGTTCACAGCCTTGACTCCGGCTGGGGAACGAGCCAGGCCGGCCTGCCGGGCTGCCGGCCAGTCGGCCGGGGGCCCTGGCCAGGCTAGGCGGCAGCAACGAACGCCGGCAGCAACCGACGACGGCCGGGCAGCAGCAGCAGCAGCAGCGGCAGCAGCAACAGGACTGCCGCCGAGGAACGAACGGATCCGACCAACGAACCGGCCGGGTAAACGGATGGGCCCGTGGAAGCCAGGCCTGGCCTGGCCTGGCCAAGCCAGCCGACGAACCCGTGGGTAGAAAAAGAAGGGCTATACTCTCGCGGCTCTAGCGAGCGGGGCTCTCCTCTGCGCTCGTTCGGCCGGCGATGGCAATTATACGCGGCCGAGCCGTCCCGGCTTAGATTCAAGATCAGATAATCCCATCTGTCGGTGTAAGCGGTCTGCAAACGATCCCGCGAACGATCGGATATCCTCTCTCTCTCTCTCCACCCCGAGCCCACGGATTTTTCCTGGACGCCGCGCGACCGGACGGAAGGCGCTCTCTCGCGCCGGCTACCACTACTCCGCGCTACGCCACGGGTCTTACCTTCTATTCAGCGAACCGGGTAATCGCCGCGCTCGCCGCTACCTTCGGCTTCTCGGAACGCGCGAACGCGCTCGGCACCGGTGATCGTTCCCCGGTTTTCGGGGGTGTGTGACGGGGACTGCGTCGAGGTTCTTAGGGGTTTGGTTAACCCCTTGTCCTACGATAACGAGGCTCGTGAAGATTTTCAATGTGATTCAGTAAATATCTGTGTTGCTTGATTAATTCGAATTCGAAATGAATGTTATTCCTCTGTAATCAACTATTATACGTAAAGGGAAATGTAGGAGTAACATAAGGAAAACAGCTAATTTCGTCGCGTGACGGTAACACTAACGGCAGCACGAGAATATCGAACAGGTCGTGAACCGTCGACTAAGAATGTTTATAGGTATCACGAATTTCATCGTATGTGTCAGGGACACACTTGGACGAAGTTTCTATTTTATGTTAATTCGCTGGTGTATAAAGGAAGGAGGACAGCGGAGAATAGAGTCTGATACCGTTACGAAGTCACCGTCGCGTGAAGAGTTATTTATATTCTAATAAGGAATTAAAAGAGGTTCAAAGCATCGTCCGCGTTTCAGAATAAATTCGCGTTAATATCGGAATAAAGACTTAATAACACTTCTTTATGTGTGTATTAATTTGTCCGGCGTTTCAGTAACAGTTGCGATAATAAGGGAGTAACTTGAACGGCAGCTAACTGATTATCGGAGGGAGAACGAAATTCGCGCAACGTTCGGCGGTGCGTTTCAGTCGGACGGCAAGAAGTTATAAGGGAAGCGGCAAAAAAGGAAGTTTCGAACGAAACCGAGCGAGCCGCGGCCGATCCGCGACGGCGCAGACACTGTTAATGAAGAAGTACATTGAAGTAGGCAAACGCAACATCTCCTTTCTTCCATCAACAGTCATGAAAACCTACAATTATTAGCCTCGTAACCGGTATCAACACTTGCTTGAAGTTGACAACAGAAAACCCTGTACCCGCTCATTAAATACTTTTGCCTTCTCGGTTATGCGCGCCGGGTAGACGAGAAAACGGAGAAAACGAAATACAAGGGGAGATTGAATATTGCGCGAGCAGGATGAAATTTTATTTTCCCGTTCCCCTCGCCGGGCAAAAATCCCTGCAGGAAGTATCACGCATGCGCAAATGGATTTACTTCGTACGATAGTTTCGTTGTTGCGGCGAGATTAACCGACGCGGAAAATAATGTAAACTGCACCGCTGACTGAATTACAAATCACTCGAGATCTCGATCGAGTTTCTACGGGAAAACAAGATCAATTCGACTGCTCGGCAGTTGCAGTGTTAACGCTAGATTTACGTTTAATCTACACTCTATTGCTCCGAGAAAACTTTATTATACATCGCTGAAATTGTAGCTTCAGAGCTATAGTATCAATGATAATTCCTTTCAAAGCGTGTATCTTATCAGGAAACATTAAGCATTTCTAGTAGAATACTTTTCGACTTTACTTCGACTCGGACGTTCCTGCTTACACTTTTGCAATTTTATAGATACAGTTATGAAGAAAATAGTACTATCGCAAGTTCAATTAAATTCACTTATGAAGACAAAATTATTTTAGTTACTCCATGCCATGTTTCCAAAATAACGTACAGAATCAATTTTCAAGTGGAAAGCACGTGCAGCCAAGGTTCGTCGTTTCATTGATGGGGTTGAGAAACAGTCCTAGCGTCGACTGGGTCAGAGGTTGCGCCGGCGTTCCTCGGATTTCGCTGGATCCGCGGGTCGGAAGGGTTCGGTCGCGGCGAGAGGACAAATCGGGGGAGCCGCGGGTGCCACTTGCAGCGCCGGGCGACGACAGTGAAACGTACGAAAGGATACGTGTCTCGGATACCGGACGCCCACGTGAAATCGACGGCGATGCCATTCCGATGTTAATTGAGGTGCCCGACGCCCACGCCGCTCGAGGTGTTCTCGGTTTGCCGAGCAGTCGTCGGTATCGGCTATCATTAGCTCGATCGGGCCGCCGATAAACGTTCGAGGCTCCCTCGGTAATTCGCCTAATGAGATAACGGTACACCGAGCGAAATCTCTGCACTTGATAACACTTTACGGCGTTCCGCGGCTTTAGCCGGGAATGCGAAACCTTTAAGAACGCGGCGCAAACTATGCAACGATTGCATTTTACGGGAACGTTCATACTCGTTATCCGGGAACGGGGATACACGGTAATAGACACTCCGCTAATTCTTGCTGCTGACGTTGCTCCTGCCGCGTCCGCTGCACGGAACCTTGCAACAAATACCAAGGGGATATTGAAATTCGGCGCTGCTCGTCGCTGAGTTTTGCTTTTGAAACGCGTTTGCTCTGTTTACCGTTATTCTTATGGTGACGTGGAGGTAGATATATTATTATAGATGCAATGATGCGACGACTGGGAGTATCAGATAAAGAAGCTTCAGCACTACTTTCTACCGATACAGTTAAGTGCTTGCTAATTTCTTAAGGAATTACACTATATTTAATAGTATCTCAATGGATGGTTATTTTTCATGTAAGCAACTTAGCACTAGACCTGAGTGAGTAAAAATTTTCAACTGTATAAACGTCGAATTTAGAGTTCGACATCCGATAG